CTGCCATAAACATGTATATGGTGTGTTTACTGTGGAGAAATGGTGACGTCACAGTCCCACATACCCCTTGAAATAAACAAAATACAATATTTTCCTACGTATGATGCATGTTCATGTAAACAAAGTACTAAAGAATAAGATGAATGTGTGTTTAAATGACAGCTTTTTTAGATTTTGTTGCCAGTTTCACAATAAACACACCTCGATTCTTTATTTTAGTAGCCAACCTGACCCACTGCAGTCACTACTGCCAGCAGATAGTTGCTAGTCATTATAGTCGAAGTGAAACCACTGAATAACCCACTTTTGTATCTTTACATTCTCACACTGATGTTGCGTGATTGTGTTCAGTTAGTGTAGATCCAAACCAGTGTGAGCCAGATTTCCATAAAAATATTTGTACCTCTGCTGATCAGGTGAAGTTGTTTTGAAGCAGCAAGTGTAATCGCAGCCATTTCCGCACACTACAGCACCCAGCGACATCCACATAGCATTTGCATGTACATACCATGCACACATTGACACACTCACGCTCAAACACTCCGCTGCAGAAACTAAACATTAACAGTTAAGTTGTCTCCTTCCCCTCCATCTCGTGCTCTCTGCGCTTTCTTTACATTCATCCCTTCACTTTATTTTGCTCTTTATTTTCTCTTTTCTTCCTGCTCACATTGTTCACTTTTCTTCTGGAAAATGGCTGTTGATAGATAGATCGTTTAAAAAAAAATGGGAAAAAAAATACAAAAATACAAAAAAAAATTGTTGTAATTTTCAACGGTTGTACATTAATACAGAAATAGAGTTACTGAGAGAGTTTTTAAAACCGGAGCCCGTCTCTCGTGTGTTTATTCTACACGCACATGCACAAACAAGATTGAAGTCTTTGAACTTAATTTCACTTTGTGAGAGTCAAGTTCATATACAGGGATATCTTCCAAAAATGAAGTATAGAATATGAGGAGTTAACATTTCCTGCAGGGCAATATGTCGTATTCTCTAAAAGGTATACTATGCAGAGTTGTCAGTTTTTAAACATGCTCTCCAGTGAAAGTGAAAGTAAAAACCAACCCCTGATTCACCCTCATCTGTATTTGCATTTTGTCAGTGGTGTGTCTCTTGGATACCTGCTGCTTACGCTCTGGCATCTGGTTGCTACTGGTTTGTCAAGCCTGACCTCACCTGAGCGCTAGGGGGATACATGCCCGTAAACATCCTGAACACAGAAAATAAGATAAAGATAAGGAAAAACAGGAAGAGTCTCTGCAGAAAAATACATCTCCACACACTTATAGTGGGTCATAAGTGATGGTTCAGAGTTTCTTCTAGGAAAGTCCTGCATGGTGTACCTTAACAGGAGGTTCATATGACACATGAAGAGTTTCAGCTCCAGAATTTTAGGAACATTTTCCAACAGCAAAACCACCTGGAGACCTACTTTTGGAGATTAAAAAAAGCAGCCAAGATGTATAAATACCACCTTGTTTTTGTAGACCGTGGCAGAGTCATTGGTCATAATGAACTTCATTTAACTGATTTAATGTTTAACCCCCTAAATCATTACTGTAGCATAATGTTGGTATGAGGGTACACTCTTACTATATTTTGATTAGGAAGAATTTATTATGATTACTAAAGTGGTACTGCACACTTAAACATGACTTTTTAGTCATAAACTAAATGCTATGACTATATTGTGATAGAGAACATGTTTGTTGCTGGTGTTAATAATGACATTTCTTTCCAAATATATAAAATAAAGGCCTTTCATGGGTTACAGATGGCTCAACATGCCCTCTGCTGTTTTAAATCAGCCCTGACCCTTGTAGGACCAAAGCTGCCATATAGAGTTGACCAGCTGGGACTTAACCAGTCATGAAATTTAACAATGTTGAGGCCCTCTAATCAGCTCCTGAGTTAAGGTCTCATTTTGGGAAGATTCTATAATGAGTTAAGGTCTCATTATAGAATCTTCCTAAATAGTCCGAAACCCTATTTTATGTCAGTTTAGGATGACATTTGGAATTTTTGGTGTTACAGAACTGTCCCTAACTTAAAGATTTTCCCAAGTGAGGAATATTGAGTTAAGATGGCAAAGACTTCTAAATTCAAAATAAATGCAAAACTGCCAAAAAAATTGCAGCAACTCTGTTAATAGGTCTGTATGGAAGTGACAGTGCAGATGGGGAAAACCATGAAAATATAATGCTTTAAAGGATACTGAAACCATGTGATGGTGCTTTAAATTTCAATACATGATCATTCAAATTAATAATTCATTCAAATCACTGAAAGAAAAACTTCCTGAAAAGGTGGAGTTTCCCCTACTTCACTGATAAGATTAGTGCCTCCGACTCCTCATAGCTAAAACTGAACACTCGCCTTTTTTTGTCCATGATAGCTGTGTGGTTTGTCCATGTTAATGAGTCACTGGTACAGTCTGATCAAACATACATACAGTATGTCATGTAGATTCTAAACATAGATACAGGCATCATGGGACGAGTGCCGACTGAAGAAATGAGACAGCCATACGTTAAGGGATTGCTTATCTTTGAAATTGAAGTTAAGATAGGACAAGCAGTCAGGATATTTGCTGTAATGAAGCCCCAGCCGTCTAACATAAGTACTCAGTGTACCACTCAGCAGGGTAAAGTCAGTCTACATATTCATTATAATGATTATTTTTCTCTACAGTCACTGTGGAGTTGACACATGCTGCAGAAACTCAGGTCACCTCTGACATTCTCAGATTGGCACCCACTGAATCTCGCAGGGCCAAGGGTGTCTGCTGCAGCCTAATATAGTTATGTGTAACTGCGTGCCAAGGTGGTATTAAATCAGCCACCGCTGTGCCAGGCCTTATGCGTGTGACCCAGTTTCACCTTGACACAGTAACATGGAGTGTGAGGAGCACTGCACCCTCAAGTGTTTACTCCAAAGCAGGACAGGGAGACACTTCCTATTAGAAAAACAGATCCACGGGCTGTAGTTTGGGAGCCACTGTCAAATACGATTTGTTTAGATAGAGGGGGGCACATTTTGCATTTCTGACCTGAAATCCACCAACCTCTTTCCAAAGACAGCCCAGAATACAATCTGATATAGTTTTTGGAGATACAATGTATTTTTAGCTGCTATTATTTTTAGATGCAATACATGTTTGGCCACAGCTATTTAAATTATCTCATTAGGTCAGTTATTATTTATGTTGATAACACAGCAGAGGGATTCATGATACACTTGTTTATTTTTAACAATGGTGGGAAGTAATTAAGTACATACACTGAAGTACTGTACTGAAGCACAACTTTGAGTACTTGTACTTCACATGAGTAATCCCATTTTATGCTTTTTTGTATTCTACTCCACAACATTTCAGTGGGAAATATTGTTCTTTCTATTCCACTACATTGATTTAAAAGCTTTAGTTACTCTGCAGATTCAGACTATTAATTACATTTAAATACAATCAGCTAATAAATTATGATGTATTATATTAGAATAAACTACCCAACAGTACATAAAGTAGTTGAAATTTTCTTATCCTTTACCAGCTACAGTAAAACTTTAATAATTTTAAACCATAATATAATATAATATAATATAATATAATATAATATAATATAATATAATGTATTCTAAAAGCCATTCTGCATTATGAGTGACTTTACTTTTGATGTAATATATTTTGAAATATTAAATGTATACTTTTGATGCTAATACTTGTCTAAGTATATACAATTTTGAATGCAGGTCTTTTACTTGTTACCTGTTTTTGCACTTTGGTATTGCTACTTTAACTTGAGTTTTTTCCCCTCCAAAATCTTTATTTCAAACTTTTAACATACAATTTGAGCAGAAACAGAACATGAACAGAGGCACATACAAATGAAGTTTTGATAAAAACAAAGCTAAAAACAGTAACAAAACAGGAAGACAATGAAAGCAAAACAAATCTAACATTAATTAAAGTAGAAATAAAAATGCAAAGGACTTGTGACAAAAAGTTCAGTTAAAGATTTTAAAGACAGCGCAGAAGAAATCATTGACAAGTAGTGTTCTATTTCCTTAATAAATACAGGTTTTAAGGTTTTATATTTGTAAATTTACATTTGTGATGTAAAATTTGACAAGAAGTAAAATAAGATTAATAAGAAAATTGCATTAATATCTTTGTCACAGTAATCATATCACCCACATATGATATTTCTGTAGTAAATACAAAAATCTGAGAGAATGTTGTCAAGTAAAAATTTAGCAATACCTTTCTACAGCACATTTGTAAAATTATAAGACCAAAATAAATGGGAGCAAGTATCAGGATGTGATAAAAAAAAAACAACAACAACAAAAAAACACGCAATTTACACTGTTTTATGTTTCAACTTTTTTAAAGAAATGTTTCACTGAATAAAATCTATAGGATAAATTTAAATGAAATTTCTTTTCCCTGAATTTTTAGAATAAACTTTTTGGCAAGGACCAAACTTTCTTCCTGTCAATATCACTGACAAAATTACTCAGTAATTTCTTTTAAATCTCAACTTAAAACTCACTTTTATCATTTAGTTATTTCTTAATGGATGCTATTTATTTTTACTTTTTATACTATTTTATACTAGATTTATTATTGTTTTTATTGTAAAGCACTTTATAATGATAATAATAACAATAATAATAGTAATTATTGTTATTATTATTATTATTATTATTATTATTATTATTATTATCGTAATAGTAGTATCATTATCATTATCATTATGTTACTACAGGAACAGTAAGCTGTATTAACTTGAGTAATAGATCTAATTAGGCTGCTATGACGCAAAGCATGCAGGGACATTGAGTTCTGTATGTTCCACTGAGTTGACTCCTCTTAAGAGACGACTGTAAAATTACAATTCACTTTCCATAAACATAATGATAGCAGTTATTTTCTGTAAATGATCAACTAAAATCATCAAAGGTGAGGGGGGCGGGTCGGCCGGATGTGACGTCAGTATCGGAAACGTTGTCAGACGGGAATAACACACGTGTCTGAGGGAACGGTTGAAAGAACATGAACACTTGGTCCTGGCTGACAGAGAGGCCCAAGAAAAGACACACAAGCTTTCATACCGACGCTTTCTGTTTAGTGTCTAATCATTAATAGTCAGTCAGGCGACGTTACTGTTTCCGGCGCGCGGAGCAGGACAACGGTCGGAGCGCGAGCTGACCGTGAAGGAGCGCACGGGGTGAACGAAGAAAGTTCTCGGTCTGTGTTCCCGGGCCTGTGTGTGTGTGTACACCCACTCGTTGCATTAGCAGCTTGTTACTAAGTTAATTTATTATCGCTAGTACACTGAAGGACTGGTGAGGGTTTATTCGGACGTCATGGCGGACTACCTGATCAGCGGGCAGACCGGTTACGTCCCCGAGGATGGGCTGTCAGGACAGCAGCTGTTCAACGGAGGAGACGGGCTCACATACAAGTAAAGACACGAGCACTCCCACTCCTCTGCCCCGGGCTAACCAGGCCAGGCACGACTACACTCTCCACCAACCTGTACTGCTGTCATGTAATGCTAGCTCTGTGTGCTAACAGTCAACTAGCCCCTTAACTTACTGAGGCATAATGTTTGTGAAATGGAGCAGGTGCTGCCAAAGTCAGCCATCTTTGGGGGACAGCCAGTCACAATAAATACTGATCAATGAATTAATTATTTGCTAAAATAAACACATACTTCCTCCTTTGAAGGGACAGTCCCCTATATGAGTCAAGCTCCAAAAACAGTGGATGCTTATTAACGGAGCATTTCCCACAATGCAACCCGTATTATTTTTTTTTATGACTGGCAGGTTTATCTTGTCTTCCAGAGACACAGAAGACATTGTGTAACTGTTTATACAGGTTGGGCAAGTTAGTGCTCCTCGAGATAAGTTAACTGAATTTTAGGGAGTGGAGTGTCTCTTTGAACGTCCACAGTAATCACCCATTTACACTGAAAGTCACCAGAGCTCATAGCTGTCTTAAATTTGATTATCTTACATTAATAACATGGAAAATGAGCTTTTATTTGGCAGCTTATCAACAGAAAACTAAAGCTGCATGGGAAATTCACTGTAGTTTGATTATATGGACATAGTATGTACAAGTAGTGCTCCTGAGCTTATATCACAGCAGGCAGCACACAAATACATTTGTATTTTGGCCATCAATGAAGTTTCTGACTGCTTTAAACTGTCCCTGTAGACAGGTCATTGTTTCCACCTTTATTACACACTACCAGCTCTAAAGGATTGCTGTCAAGTAAGATACATGTTTTAAAAACATGAAAACACTTGTGCATTCTGGATAACAGCCTCTTGGAAATGAAAGAGGCACACATTCCTTCTGTATACACACTGGTCCCAAATTTAGGTCCTGGCTTACGCAGTCCTGTGTTGTCATGCTGGACTGTGTGGCCCTTTGGCCATACTGAAAGCATCTACTCTGTAGTCCTTCACAACAAAGCATAAACAGTAGTGGCGTGCACTGACTAGATACAGGCACTTTTTCATGTCCAAAATCTCATACTATATCTATGTCAGCGATATATTTACATATTTATCTGTTGTACAAACTGATGTCTTGACTTGCCAGATTTTGAAGCACTTCATGGATACATGAGAAATATTTGAGATTTATTGACAATAAAAATAATCATTACTTGCAGCCCTTTCACATAATGGCTTAAAATGTGTGCATTTAGTCTAACCAATATCCAAAAAGTATTCAAATGCTATGAAATGAGGGGTAAGCAGGTTACTCATTGCTCTTGCAAAGCAAAGATGTAGTAACAATAGTATCAAAGCACATGTGTACTGATGACCCTCTGACCCACTGAACCCCTGATTTAATTGATTGGTGTGAATGCTATTGGCAGTGTATTAAAGAAGTAATGGTTAAATGGCTGACAGTTACTCTTGCCACATGCTTGAACACGCTGCCTGTCTCTTTTTGGTGTCATAGTCACATGGGCATCACTGCCACTCATACGCCACATGGGTCGACATGCCTTGCATTTAAGAAGTTCATTCTACAGAAACATTTCACACCAACACCTGTAACATGACACCTTTTGAAGCTTCCCGAGAAAGAAAGTCATGTTGTGTGGTCTGTGGAGTAGTTTAAGCCACATTTCTTCTATTTCTGAACTAGAAAATATGTGTTGCATCACATGTGTTTTGTAAGGCGCATGTTTACTCGTCACATTATTAAAAAACCTTAGATCTCTTAACTGTACAGTGAAGATCAATCAGTAGTGGATTAGAGTTACTTAAGGTTTTAGTTTTGGAAAGTGAACCTCCAGATTGTAAATTAAATCTTTCATGTCTTCATGTTTGACTGGCTGAGGCAGGTTTAAAGCTGTTAGGATGGAATTGCTCTAACCTCATCTCACTTGTCTCCTCTTCAGTGACTTCCTGATTCTCCCAGGCTACATTGACTTCACAGCAGACCAAGTGGTAAGTCGTGATGGACAAATATTAACCAACACATGAAATCTGATTAACGCTGCTGTTGTGGTATTAACCTAATCTGAATGTGGGATGATGGTGGGGACGGGAGCAGATGAGGCAAGAGGGAGGATTATTAGATGTGTGCCTCCCGTCACAGATATTCCCTAAATTCAGATCACAATGCTTCCATAAGCCAGAGCAGTAAATTATGGCCTCCCAGGATTAATAGTTGATCCTGGCATTCTCATTTTTAAAGCAGCACTGTGTAAGTGTAGCTGAAAGTGACATTTATGGGATAATAAATTCTAGTATGTAGTGCAACAGTAGAGCAACTACACAAGAGATATACAGTGAGAATACTTCATCAGGACCAAAACCAATGTCAAAGCCAAAGCAGCTACATAGAATTCAGCCATCATTTTATTGTATTATTTACACTTGTGCTTCTTCTAATGTGACATGCTAAAATGTCTTCTGCCTGTTACATGGATAACTTCGTATTTCAAAGGAAACATCATAAAAGATTTCAATTCTTTGAGGTGGTTGACTTTAATTTATGTGCTGTAACAATTTTCATAATGGTAACGTTATTGAGGAGCACTTTTTAATGTTCTCAATATCCTCCTGATGTTTTTTGTCCAGGACCTGACCTCAGCGCTCACCAAACAAATCACCATGAAAACACCCTTCGTCTCCTCTCCTATGGACACCGTCTCAGAGGCCAACATGGCCATCGCTATGGCAGTAAGTATGACACATAAACTACGGATGTAAAAAAATATTGATACACTTATGTATCATGACATTATGTTTTGTGATGGTACATTGATTCTCAAAAACACTTTGGATTTTTACTTAAAGTTTACATGCAAAGATTGATGGCAGGGGTTCATTTTATGTTGTGTCTAAAACCTCGACTGCCGGATTCTTCCATGTTGTAATCCATTTGACTCTTCCACTCCAGTGTATCAAGGGGTGTGTTTGTAAATCTAATCTGATGCTCTACACTAAAATGAGAGCGCTGATGTTTGAAGAAGAAGAGCTTTTTCTTTCTTCATGACTTAACACACAGTTAAGTTAATCCCCCGCTCATTCTACTTGGCGCTCTGCTGTGCCATCTCCCCAGACTGAGTGCCCAGGGAACGCTCTACTATTCCAAAAGTGTGGTGCTCTAGATAACCAAACGGTACCTTCCAATAGCACTCCAAATGTATGAATGCTCCACTTTGTGCCAGAGTGTGCTTTGGCACTTTGAGTGACTACTTCCGAATGCACCCAACATGTTGCTAGTGTAAACACAAACTTATGAAGCAGGCAGTTATCAGGGGCACACGGCTAGCACTGACAGTTTAAGTTCTTTAAATTAGATTAAATAGCCCTTAAATATCACCTTTTTATTTATTCTATTTAACCTTTATTTAGGGGTTTTGCCAGTTTCTTGCCAATACATCCACAACATAAACACATGTTTTTCTCTGTATCATTAGATAGTTTAAATTCATTCATTAGCACACTGTGATGCCCACACTAACCTGATGTATTGTTTCCTCCCAGCTAACAGGTGGCATCGGCTTCATCCACCACAACTGCACTCCAGAGTTCCAGGCTAATGAAGTTCGCAAAGTCAAGGTAGTGATGATGACCATCTGTATTTTTTTACTTTCTCTTTACACTTCTTCAACCCTCTTTCTTTCATTTTGTTTATCTGATCATTGAAGTTTTTTCTGTCACATGATCATTTTCTTTTCCATCATTGTTTTTATGTGTATCTTTTGTCATCTCACGTCAGCTTCTCTCTGTCTTTCTCTGTTTTTATTTACTGCTCTCAGTTCGAGAGATGTAAAAGCATGCTATTTCCTTCCATCCATTGCTCCTGTGTTCTAGAGTGTAGGCAGTGAAATGCTCACATTTGTTCATCCAACCCTCCCTATCGAATCCGTTAAACCCCTTCCCCTGCTGTTACTTTCCCTTTCTTTCCCATACTCACCCTTAAATCCACTTCCTGTTTATATTTCTTTTTGTTCTGCACCATCCCTCTCCTGCCGCTACTTATTCTTCCTCACCCGTCCTTTCCCTCCTCCCTCCAGCGTTATGAGCAGGGCTTCATCAAGGACCCTGTGGTGATGAGCCCCAACGAGCGTGTTCGGGACGTCTTCCAGGCCAAGGCTCGCCATGGCTTCTGTGGAATCCCCATCACAGACAACGGCAAAATGGGCGGCAAGCTGGTGGGCATTATCTCGTCCAGAGACATTGACTTCCTGAAGGAGGAGGACCACAACCTGCCACTGAGCGAGGTGGGTGGAGCTTAGACACAAGTCACTAGCCATCAGAAACCAAAAGCACTGTGGGGTTGGGCGCAAAAGTTTTGGGAACTGATGAATCGAGATTATATGATACATATTGATAGGCCATAGGCTTTCTTTTTTCATGTTCTGTGCGTGTCGCCATCTTGACAGGTGATGACGAAGCGAGAGGATCTAGTGGTCGCACCTGCTGGAGTGACACTTAAAGAAGCCAATGAAATTCTCCAGAGGAGTAAGAAAGGTGAAGAGGATTTTAAATTTATTATTCATGACTCGCATGATTTTTATGTTTTCATTTCAGTTAAAAAACACACCAGGTGTGAATGTCTACACATGTTTAACCTCTCGGATTCCCGCTGCAGGAAAGCTGCCCATAGTAAATGAAGAGGGCAACCTGGTGTCCATCATCGCCCGCACAGACTTGAAGAAGAACAGAGACTTCCCTCTGGCCTCCAAAGACTCGCGCAAACAGCTGCTGTGTGGCGCTGCCATCGGCACCCACAACGACGACAAGTACCGTCTGGACCTGCTGGTGCAGAGCGGGGTGGATGTAATTGTACTGGTAAGGAGGACTTTAGTGCAGGTTTTAGAGGTGGAGACCTCTGTTTCCCATGTAAACCAGGGTGGATTAAGTCTGAGTGAGGAGACTGGGCTCAAACTGGTTTGCACTTTCCTGCTGGGATCAGTGTCTGACTTTGTGGTGCAGATTAGGGAGCTTTACTACTGAGGGACTGGGACTGCTGGTGGAGAACAGACTGGAAGTCAGCTCTCTCACAGATTTGTAATGGGTTAACTGGGTTTACTTTAGCTTGGCACCAGTGGTGTAGGAGCAGAATGTGAATTAATTTATTTGTGTATGGTGTACTGGGTATCAGGTGTCACAGGGTAATTGGTGGTCATCATGATATATGGGGGGAACCTTTCTTTGTCTGGTCAGGTGTTCCACCCGGGAGGGTAAACAGTTTTTTTTTTTGACCGCTGAAGCAGCAAGGTGCAAATGGAGTTACACGTGTGGATGTATGAGCGTATCTGGAAACCTGTTCGAGTTTAATGGACACTGACGTTTTGTGACGGAAAATAAATGGACGAAGTGTTCAACTGGCAAGTTTGACTCCGACTTTGATTCATCAGACACGGTAACAATCAGAGTGTCAATTAGGTTATCCCGGTGCAGCACCTCAGTGGCTTAAAGCGTTGGCTTGGCCTCTAAAATTCAAGTGGTGTGCACACTCATTGTGGCGCAAGACAAGATATCAAAATCTGTGAACTTACTTTGAGTGTGTTAGCTAGAGGCTTTTTGATGAAGATCCACATGAGATGAAAACCTTGATCTCTTAGCTGTGGAAGCAAAGTCAGAGTGCAGTTACTTTGTTCTGGATTCTCTACATTTGAGGTTTTAGGTTGTCTAAAAGCGGTTAAGTGTACAAACTTGCGGTAATGATGCTCTGTAAATAACAATGTCATGTTGTCCTTCTGTACCTCCAGGACTCGTCTCAGGGCAACTCAATCTTCCAGGTCAACATGATCAAATATATCAAAGAAAAGTATCCAAGCCTACAGGTCATCGGAGGCAATGGTAAATAAGCTTTTCTTTACTAGCATGAAAATGTATTTTCAATTATCTCATTTATACATGTAATTACACGTGACGGAGCTATTAATCAAGAATGGACAGACTCTTAAATGTTTATTCCTGCCATGCGCAGTTCAAAACCAGTGTGTCTCTGAAATATCAGTAGCCTAACTGTGCTGTGTATTGATGAATGTAAAAATCTCTTATCTGAAATTAACAGCTTACCTATTGCTCACAGTTAAAGATGCATACATTGAGAAAACATTGTCCAACTCTAACAGCCGCTCTGTCTCCCCCTCCCTGCTCCAGTGGTGACTGCAGCTCAGGCCAAGAACCTGATAGATGCAGGAGTGGATGGGCTGAGAGTGGGGATGGGCAGCGGCTCCATCTGCATCACACAGGAAGGTGAGTGACTGACATGAGAACTCAACAAACACCAACAACCTAGCTAACTGCTCCCATCCACAGAGCAGCCATCAGCCATTCTGGAGCCTCTAATGTGGTTATTGAATCTGCCAATCAAAGGGTGGAAGGAAAATCTTGTGTAGTTTATGTGCAGTTTGTGTTTTTGTTGAAGAATTTGATTGACTTTGGTTTGGCAATAGAAAGCAGGATAATACATGCCCGGCCGGTGTGCTTTTTAACAACATGATATCAGCTTGCTAGTGGCACATTCTATGTATCATTTTGTCGTAAGGATTGTCTATTGTAATTTCATGATGTTGGTCTACTCTGTACACACATCTGTTACACGTCCTGAGGTTTTTCCTTATCAGCTGTGAGGGTCCATGACAGAGTAAATTCCCCTGAGGCAAATTGTGATCTGTGATATTGGGCTTTATAGACTAAATTGAATTGACTTGACAACTCATTGTGCGTCTAAGACTCCTCGGGAGTCACAGATGGGAAAACAAGCATGTCACAATTATTTTCTTGTCTTTCTTATAGTCTTTGACATGCTCTGTACTTCAGGTGTTGACATTTCTGATCCCAAGAGGCTGTCTCTGGTGCTTCCTACCTGATCTCCTTTGCAAGTCATGCAGATTATTAAGGAAACACCACCTATGATTGGTAGGGGTTCAGTGTTCAGTGTTTAGTCTGACATTCATCTAAAACCAAGTCATGGCAGGTACCATGATCACCTGATCTGACATTGTGACCATCTGGAAAGTAGTTTGTTAAATTGTGCAGTTTGGATTGTTACAACAAAGTTTGGATTTTAAATTTCAAGTTGTCATGGGGATACATTTAGCTGTGATTTGTCTTGTGTAGTTCTGTTTGTGCTTCTTGTTGTCTCTGTCTTGTCTTCACATCTTGTCCCAAGACTCCTCTAAAATCATTAGCACTATTTGTTCTTGTTCATTTTCTTTTGCTTATGTTTTTTTCCACTTTTGTCTGTCATCTTCATCTTCTTGTCTTCCTACCTGCCTCCTTCTCTTCTTGCTCTGCTCTGTCCCTCTTTAATTTTCTCCGCTGCCTCCTACCCTGGTGTTTCTGTGGTGTGTGTTTGTGTGACTGTGTGTGTCCTTGTCCAGCTCCCCCAAGTGTACCACCAGCAATAAGACTCCACAGCCCCAAAACCCCAACCACTGTTACAGGATACTCCAGTAAGTTTCCTTTCGGCCTGCACTGGGCTCCTATTGGCTTCACTATCACAGTGTGCCTGCCCCCCCTCACAGCCTGCTGCACTGATTGGTTAACAGCTTTGCATCAGTGAAAGTAGTAGAGGTAGTGGTTGTTTTGAGAGCTGGCCTTGGGTGTTTGAGGTTTTGGGGTTTTTGCTCGTTGCTGTGTCCTCACTAATCTGTCCTGAGTGAATGTTGCTCTTCCTCCGCTCACTTCACTGACCTTTCAGTCTCTGGTCTTAACAATGTCATCAGAATGAGACACCATCCATTTGTGTCCTTGGGTTGCTTGTGGATACAATTGGTCAGGTGGTAGCTGGTTTATAGGCACAGTTTGGATTTTTTAAGTGGGGTTTGTATGAGGTACTTATCCATAGTCAGTGTATTACATACAGTGAACATCTGTTTGGAGAAGCAGGCAGGATTACCAATACTGAAGCTCAGCAATGTAATGCTGTGGACGGAGGCAGCAGCAAACTGTTTTTTAGCCACCGAAAAAAATCTTTAATTTACAGATACAGTAATTTTGTCTCATTTAATACAAGAACTGCTGGTCTACCACTGGCATAGTCAGTTACTTTGTGTTATTGTGTGACTTCACTTTGGTGAATCCAGACTAACATTTTAAACACCAAAGTCACACAATAACACAAAGTAACTGATTAAGGCAGTAGTAGACCTGCAGCTCCTGTGTTAAGCAACGTAAAATCACTGTTTTTCTCAATGGAGTCTGGCTTTGAAGAGTGGCTTTAGTTCCCAGTTGGAAATCCCTGTCTTATGGCAAGGTAAAGCATTAAAAAGTATTCTGAATGTAGCGTACACTTAGACTGTTTTTTTGCTTGTTTTTGGAGGGCCCTTTTGTAGGTGGCTAAAATGTTTTATTACCGATTCCTCCACAGCAGTACATTGCTGAGCTCTCTTGTCGCACTCCAGCCTGCTTCTCCAAACGAGGGGCACGACTGACATCTACTGTGTGTAATGCACTGACTCCTGATAAGTACCTCATACAACCCCACTTGAAAAGGTCCAAACTATCCCCTAAGGCCAGACCTTATGTGTGCTGCTTCTGTGACAGGATTGTGTTATATTGGCCCTCCCATCATTGTGTCAGTTGTAGACCACAGCTCACATCGATTTCTAACACTCATTTCTAACACATGGCATTGCAACGAGTGGCTTTTTAGTGTCGCTGGCAGCCACTGGGCGTCTGATGAGCAGAGGTGGTGAACCTGCTGAGGTGGGTGGGAGCAGGCAGGTTAAATTTCAGCTGGCACCCCTGTTTCATGATAAATTGTCATGATCAAGGATAAAGCTGCCTTGATAAATGTGTCTTTGTTCAGCTGTTTGTGTATATACTTATTTCAGTCACTCACTTTCTAATCGTCAACATAGTATATTCAGAGTTTGCCACGGCTGTCATCTGGGATTGTTGCACCCAAAGTGACATTCTTTTGAACTGTAGCATGGCTGTATGAGAAGACGCATCAGCATCGAGGCTGTGAAAAGATGTGTTGTTTCTATTTCTGTGTCGTGTGTGTCTTTGTATTTTACCTCTGTCACGTTGTCTGAAATGAGATGTACAGGTCGGTAAAAACATGGTTATATATCTCTTAGTTTGAACATGTGGGGCTGCACAGATAATAATCACATACACTGACTGTATATCGTGACACATATACCTAATGAAAGAAGATGTAGCAGCTGTTTCACCTCAACAGCAGTGTTTTAATTAGAATTTAGAAGCCAGGATGACTGACCGAGACCCTCCGGCTGCTGTAGTTCAATACTTAAGTTACAGTTCTTTCCTTTCATGAAATCAACCTTAACATTTTTGATTCTATTTATAGTTGCCATTTTTCAGTAGCCATTCAAAGTATTTGCATTCTGTAATACCTCTCTATATAGTAGTGTTCATTGTTATTGTCTGAGTCTGGATTTACATTTCTGAGTTTGCCTGGTGTGAACAGTACAAAAAATATAAACAGTACTAAACCTCACAACCATCAGCACCTAAGGGTGATTACAACTTTAAAAAATGCTGATATCCTGTACAAAGAGGCCTTTGCAATGTTCCCTGTTTAAGATCATGGCCATAGCAAGATAATTGGGACAAGTAGTTTGGTAAGTACCGTGCAGCCCCGAGTTCACAGGAAGTAAAACAATCCTCCTGGTTAAAAAAAGGAATTGGGATGTTTCTCTTTAGTGGCGTGTTGTAAATTTGACCATTAGTGTCTCTTACTTACTGTTAGTGGTTGACATGTTAGAGATGTAATTAAAGTTGATGAGTGGTCTTCAGTTGAAAAGAGACAGGATATATTATGAGATGGATTGAGTGTGTCAGTGCGGTGTGTGTGTGTGTGTGTGTGTGTGTGTGTGTGTGTGTGTGTGTGTGTGTGTGTGTGTGTGGGATTTGTCTGCTGATGTGACAAGTTTAACTTCCTCATTCTAACTTGTCTTTGACTAACATGACAATAGAAAGAGACACGTTCCCAGTCTGTCTGCTCATTCACAGTGTGTGAGATTTTTTTTTAACATCACTGGGAGTTTCCACTAAGCATGCCTGTCAAAACTCAGTTAAAGTCTCTGAGCTTAATTGAGAAGTTTTTGATTCTCAGATTATGAGCCAGCTGGTACATGGTTACAAAGCTCATCTGTATTTATGTTGCAGCGATGTTCCTGTAAATATAAAATGCTGACATTAAATAATAACTGTCTGGTAAAAATTTGACTAATTTCCCATGTGACTGTAAAGTTTTCTGTGGTGAGCTGAGTTAGCAGTTTGCATACTTCAGTTATGTGTTCTGTGGTGGATCAAGGGGTCAGTATGTAGTACAGGACTAGCCCGCAGTCATGAGACCAGAAACATGTTTTTAAGATGTTTAAATTCAACAGCTGTACACATTTTCTCACATCATTTAATCCTCCTCCATCTCTCTTCTTCCCCCCACAGTGCTGGCGTGCGGCAGACCCCAGGCCACAGCTGTCTACAAAGTATCAGAGTAAGCCAGGCGTTTTGGCGTGCCAGTTATTGCTGATGGCGGCATCCAGACTGTCGGACACATTGCCAAAGCCTTGGCACTGGGAGCATCCACAGGTAGGGAATGAGTCAGAGTGCAGGAGTTTACAACTGACATATTTAGAGGACATCGTTAATTTGCTGAAGAATTTGCTGGTTTTTTTTCTGCAGTGGTCATCTGTCATGTTTTTACTAATCCATGTTACACAGAGGATTATAATTTGAACAGTAGATTTTCAGATTGTTGTTTACTGCCCTCTGTGTGAAATGATTTAAGATGGGAAAATGAGCAAAAGGCTTTTCCCCACTTAACTATATTTTAGCTTTTAGTAGTCAACATTTATTTCCAGTCTTCTAACTGAACCTCAGCTTACCAACCTCTCCCTCTCTGTGCCCAGTGATGATGGGCTCTCTGCTGGCTGCTACCAGTGAAGCTCCTGGTGAATATTTCTTCTCTGATGGCATCAGGTTGAAAAAATACCGCGGCATGGGCTCCCTGGATGCCATGGACAAAAACCTGGGCTCTCAGAGCAGATACTTCAGGTACAGAAAACCTAAAACTGGGCTCATGGTCTGCATTGTTCAAGCTGATCAGAGTTTATAGTTGGGTAACAGTCTAGACTGTGTATGTGCAGCTCAGACCATAATAAAGCAATGGTCTACTCTTACCCCAAAAGAGGAAAACATGAAAGCACGCGGTTCCCTTCCACATAGTATAACCTCATCTCACCACAAACATTTTTCCCAAATGACAACACTTCTTCCTCGTGATTTTCAGTGGTTTTCAGAGCAGAAGACATTACTTTCTTGTAATGAACAATGACAAGCCTGCTGGAAGACAGAGGGACAGACATTTTACCCAGTGATACTTATGTTAAATCTTTATTTTGATTTGAAAGTAAATATCACAGCACACTCAAAAGCTCTTGAGCCACAAGGTGGCAGTACACAGGTTGTACTTTAAATGTGAGAGACGGGAAACCTCATGAGAGTGCACCACTTACACCTTCATATCACTCACTTTTTCTGCCTCCTCTCCTCCTCTCCCCACAGTGAGAGCGACAAGATTAAAGTTGCTCAAGGTGTTTCTGGAGCGGTGCAGGACAAAGGCTCCATCCACAAGTTTATTCCCTACCTGCTGGCTGGCATTCAGCACTCCTGTCAGGACATCGGAGCCAAAAGCCTCACACAGCTCAGGTAAACACGCAGGCAGACAGCTGATTATATAAAACTACCTCTTACTGAACCCTCATGGGACAGAAATGTGTGTGCACAGAGTAGTAAAATGTAAGGGGATTTTTCTCTGTGATGCAAGACTTCCAAATCAGAGAGAGATTTCAGTGGACAGTTCTGCAGTTGATTGTGGAAGTGAGATGGAAAAGATATTTTGTTTATGTGCACTTTTCCCTTGTAGCCCTCAAACATACACTGCCCCTGAAATGGCACTCAGTCATTAAACTATGAGAAACCTGTGTTTAAAAAAAAAAAAAAAGTCAAACTAAGGTATGTCATTAAAAATTAATTTAATAAAAGAAAGTCACATCAGTAAGCTATTAAAAAATATAGTATGCCAAAAAAAAGTCAAAAGTCATAGTACAGTATGCCACTAATAAAGTTATGATAAATGATGTCATTAAAAACAGTAATAGTATAGTACAGTATGCCAAAAATCTTGACAAATGTAATACAAAATGAGTTATAGTATGCTGTGTGCCACAAAAAAATTATAGTATAGTTGTCATGAATAATGTGATGACGGAAGTCATAGTATGCCACAAAAAATGTCATGAAACAGTGTCAAAATAATTTACATTAAAAATTCATAGAGTATGCCATAAAAATGCCACAGGTCACAGTATAATATGCCCTAAGTGTCATAAGAAATATTATGAAAAAAAGTGATTATAGAGTATGCCATTAAAATATCATACAAAAGTAATAGTATGTCAAAAGTGTCCATTATTGACATTGTATGGTTTGTCATAAGTCATAGTATAGTATGCCATAAAATAGTAACATGCCATAAAGACTGTCAAGTCATATTGTATGTTACAAAATGTCATAAGTCATTATGCAGTATGTCAAAAAATAATTTTAAAAATCTACAGTATGTCATTAAAAAACTAATAGTTTAGTACAGTATGCCATGTCATTAAGTGTAATACAAAAAAGTTAGAGTATGCCTTAAGTGTCAAAAAAACTTTAGCAGACAAGTTTGCAGCATAATGTGCCACAAAAATGTTCTAGTGTAGTTGTCATTAATAATGTCATAACAAATTCATAGTATAGTATACCATGGAAGAGTAGTAGTAGTAGTAGTAGTAGTATGCCATTAAAATATCATAAAAATGTTGTACAAAAATAAGAGTATATAATGGAAAGTGTCATTAAAAAAATGGCATTAGGTCATAGTATAGTATGCCATCAAAGTGTCATAAAAAAGTAACAGCATGCCATAATGTGTCAAAAGTCACAGTATAGTGTAGTCATAAATTCACAGTGCAGTGTGTCATGAAGATAGTAAAAGAAGTTATAGTATGTCACAAAAAATATAGGATAGCATGCCATAAAAATGTCAGAAGGTCAACAGCTGTACACATTATCAATATAGTATGGCAAAAAGTATTTTAAAAAATACAGAAAATGTCATAAAACATGTCAGTGTCATGAAAGTCATAGTGTAGTATGTAATGGTGCGTTCCAGGCAACCCGTAACTCTTGTTTTCACAACCTGTAACCCGTGAAAGTGCACTGGAACGGCAGTCAAACCCGTAACTTCTCACCCGTGAACTCGTACCAGATGGATGTACTCCAAGTTACGCTTTCTGACGTCACACAGCCCTCTAAACCAATTACCTTACGGTAATGCGGTGTTGATGCAGGTGATACATGGTGAGAAATAGACATAAAATAACCCTAATCTTAACGCATTATTGGCAGCCGCTCTAACAGCTGGTTTCCAGTGCAAGAATAATCAATATAAAGTATGTTTCCAAACACACAGATAACATAAAATGAAAAGTATAGTAGCATGTGTGACCTTATGCGCCGTTTCTCCTCCTCTGTTTCACTCAAATGAGCAAGGAGCAGGCACCTTTGGCGATAGAAATAATGGGGAAACAGCACAAACAAACGGTTCGCCATGTTCAACGTTAAACAGGAAGTAACTGGCAGTTTGCCGTAACTTTCCTGGAATGCTACAAAGTCGTAACTCATGACTTGAAGTTGTGACTTACGAGTTCAAAAGCCTGCCTGGAACGCACCATAACAATACATATCATTTAAAACTAATAGTACAGTATGCCAAAAATGTCATTAAGTGTAATATAAAAGAGTATGCCTTAAAAGTGTCAAATGATGTAGCAGAAAAGGTCGCTGTATAGTGTGCCACAGTAATTTTTAAGTATAGTTGTTATTAATAACAGGATAAAGGAAATCATAGTATGCCATAAGAAAGTCATAGTAATGTGGATATAATACCAGTTACCATACTGGAAGTCTTACCATTTCATGTACACATCCTGACTGAGTGCTTCCCCTACAGTTTATTAAAGATTAACTAAACAGCAATGTTTTTGTATACTAACAGCTAAACAGTATACTCCGACAATTAGTATGAAATACATACTGAACAGAATTAGCACGTAGTTTGGATTTGGGACCCCTCTTTAGCCTTGGTACTTGCTCAGTGTTTGTCACACTATATTCTTACCCCTGTGGCTGTGTGTTGCTCTTCTTTCCTCCTGGCAGAGCCATGATGTACTCTGGGGATCTGAAATTTGAAAGGAGAACAACATCAGCTCAGATGGAGGGTGGAGTCCACAGCCTGCACAGGTACACACACAAAGCTATGCAGATAGAACTTTGTTTTGTTAAGTTTCATGTTCTATCATCTTAAAAAGTTTTAGTTTCACGTCACTGTACAAACTTTTAGTTAAACGTCCTGATTAGTGCCTCCAGTCTGTCTTCGCAGGAAACCTCAGGGAGCATCATGGGTAGATGTGCGATGTTTTCCCTCACTGACCAGCTCTTCTTTCTCCCACAGTTATGAGAAACGTCTGTTTTGAGAAGAAGCCAGCCGTTTTGCTGTTGAGCCTGCAGATGAAGATTCTTTCCAACAGACACAATATGCAAAAACACTACTTGCCGGACCCTCTTACATCCATACTCAACACAAACACACACACCTGCCGAAGTTCTCATAGAAACTAGTCTTTAAAGATGAGCTCTCACACACACTGTATTCTTCCAAGGATCCATCAGTCTTCCTGCCAGTGTCATCTATGCATTGTCTTTGTCTTTCTGTGTGAAGGAGGGGAACTGAGCATTTATCAATCAGTGCACGTGTGATTGACTCCTCCAATGCCTTTCATGTTGTGATTCAAATTAAATGTCTGGTGTGTCCATTTTAAGGCAACAAAGTTGTCCAGTAATAAAACTCGTGTTTTTCCACAAGCTGCTGTTGTCTGTTTGGGTCATTTGGAATAGAGCAGAAAAAAAAAAATAAATAAATAAAAAAAAT